TCAGTTTGGATTTTTGAATGAACTTGTTAGGTTTGAGGTTTTCAAAAGACAAGATAAGCTGCGGGAAATAGGGTGGGTTTACAAAAAATGTCTCATGCAACTCTTCTGTGCTTCTGTTGACAGGTCAGCTTGGACTCTCGAGTAAGAGAAATCATCAACAGAAACATGGGCGAGCCATCCCCACACATATTTGATGATGCCCAGCTTCAGATTTACACCCTCATGCACAGAGACTCGTACCCCCGATTCATGAACTCTGCCGTCTATAAGAACTTGCTTCAATCCTTATCTGAGAAATCAGCTGAAGCATAGGAGTTTTCAACTATGTTATTATTAAGAAAATAATAAAAGAACTACATGGACTACATCTAGCACAGGGAATTTAGAGGTAGTAATACCTTCTACTGGAGTAATACTCGGTCTATTTTAATAACAAATGTTTCCTTCCTCCAACAAAAGGCTATATATTCACAGTGTAAACTGCAACCACCTTTAGTGATACTTTTGAGGAAAACTGGGATATGGCTGTTTAAGAGAGCATGTATTACATTGACAACAACAGTAGCATGTTCCCCATGGCGAAGGGTGCCCTGGAAGACTGTTCTGCCCAGAGCACATACATCAAACACAGGAGAGAGTCGGACTACTTTGTTTTGCATGAGCTCAGCAACTGATTATCTCCAAAAGAAAACAGTCAAGTGCTTCTCAGCCTCCTTTTCATTCCGTCAATCTGGGTCTGAATACTTCACTTCTATCGCCATGACAAGACTCAAATTCATATTTTATAAAGATGTGACCATTACTGTACAAACAGTAATCCACTTTATATCTTGAGTATGTTTGTACGTGGATACCTATGTGTGCATGTGTACCTGTACCTGGTTAATGTAAAGCACTGTGCTCTTAAGTGAATCAGTCTCAAATGTTTGGTAAGAGTAGCAGGACTCAGAAAATTCTTTTGTTGAAAACAGTTAACTGCTATTTTATGATCAGAATTTGCCAACCTAAAGGACAAATTTTTAGCTTCACAACTTGGCCATGTTCACAACAAACTTTCAAAATAAGCATATTTCCATCTTTATTATTGAAAGAAGTATGGGTATTTTCACTCAAAAAATAAAGCACAAGAGTTTTATCTCAATTTTTATTTTTTTCAGATGTAAATATTTGAGAAGTGTAACATTAAGTAAGTAAGTAGGGACACATGCAACATATTTTAACTCTCAGACCAGTGTTTTGTTCTTAGATCCCACTAGTATTAACACAGGTAAATGGAATAACTTCATAGCTTATAGGTGAAAATAGTTTGTAGCTCTAAACTATCCCAAAGAAACCTATGTATACAATTAATAGAAAAGACACAAAATCTTTATTGATTTCAGGAGTTAGACATTAATTTGCAAGAGGCACATACCATGTTTAAGCCTTCATATGAGATAGCTGCTCTTTCCCCCCTTCCTAGTACAGGGGATTGAACCTAGGGCCTTTGCACTGAGCAACACCCCTAACCTTTTTTTATTTTGAGCTAAGTTACTACCCAGAGTGGGCTCAAACTTGTGATCCTCCTGCCTCAGCATCCTGAGTAGCTGGGGTTACAGATATGTTCCATCAAGCCCAGCTATCTTTTTGATCACCTCCCTTACCTGACCCTTCAGCAGTCTGATTCTATCTTCACTACTTAAGCAACCAAACTATGCCTCACTCTTGGGAAACCATCTATTTTACTAAGAAAATTGTGAGCCTCACCCCGCTGAACTTCTTGTGCACTCTTGCATGTGTGCAGATCAGCAACTATTCTCCCTCCTTCAATCCACTCCCAGCAGACAATATGCTCTTGCTTTAATTTCAAGATTTCAGTTGCTTATGTGGGCTTTTGATTACATTATCTTTCTGATGTTTTTGTAATTAAGATACAAATACTGTCCTCTGGTTGTTGACCTCAGTAAGGAAACAGATAATTCAGTGACAACTACAATACAGTGTAGGGAGTACAATAAAGGTCTACTGTGGGAAACTGCAGGGTTATGGAAAAATTTTGGTGGAGAGAACCCCAAAGGGAAAACCACAAAACAAAGAGAATATGCATGTGCTGACAGGGGCGTGACTACCGAAGAAAGGGAAGGTAATCAAAGTGATCCCAAGTGAGTCCAGTGATGGGCATGCTGAGGATGAAGTCATTGGAAGACATAAGAGGAGATGACAAATCAATCGAGTGGCAGGACCTGCATGGTCAAGATTCTAGGCAGGACTATCAATTTGGAAGTTTTCATACATAGACAAATGGGAGTGCCAGAGGAGGTACAGCATGAAGAGAGCTGAGGATAGATCCTTGTGAGGGCGGATAGAGAAACACAAGTCCTAAAGGAGATTTAGAAGGACTTGCCTCTATACAGGTGAGAGGGAAGTCGGGGCCCTGTGGGAAGATGGCACAGGAATGGGAACTTGTCGGGGGTGTGAATGGTGATCCTCCACTCTTACCTAGGGTTTGCTCCATCAGCTTTCCCATTCTCTCACATCAACTTCTCCCTCACCCCGCACTGGAAGCATGCTCCATTTCCTTTAAGAAAAGCCTGCTTTCCATTGCAACTGTTGATTCTTCTCCTGTCTCACCAGCATTTTACCCAGGTACACATGGCTGCCTCCATTTCTGCATCTCCTTGTTTCCACTAAAACCACTATGAAGCACCAACTTGCTGTACAGAGGCTCCTACGGTACCTACAAATCTAAAACACACAACTCCCCAGCCTCATCTCAGTGCAGTGTTCAGCTTCCTGACCTTATGGACAGAGCCTTACTCCAAACCCTACTTCCCTGTCTTGGAGGCACCTTCCTAGTTCTCCATATTCTCTGTCATGTTTATCTGCTTGCTCCCCATATGACAGAGCGTAACAACTGAGGGCTTAGGCTGTGGACCCAGGCTTTCAGACTCCCCCACTGGCATGTCAGTGGGTACTTAGCCTTCCTAGGCCTGTTTCCTCATTTGTAAAAACAGGGACAATAAATGGTAACTTGCCCTTAACACTGCTGTGAGGAGTAAAACTAATCTACATAGCCAGGCATAGTGGTGCATGCCAATAATCCCAGCACTTGGGAGGCTGAGGCAAGAGGATCCAGGCAAATTTGAGGCCAGCCTGGGTTACATAGTGTGTTCACTGCTAACCTGAACTTAGCTACATGGTGAGATCCTGTCTCAAAAAAAAAAAAAAAGAAAGAAAAAGCAATTCATATCAAATAGAGTAAGTACTGTATTATTAGTTATTGATACTATTACTTGTTCATTAAATTGATAGCCCCTAAGATTTGGGCTTTTGCTTACTCTTCTTTTTAATCTATATGCTCTCTCTTGGTTTTTATATCCTCTCCTCATTGCCTAAAATGCCTACCAAATATACTGAAGACTACCAAATCAGGACCAGGTCTCAGCTGCCTCCTGCACTTGAGAATCAGCTGCCGGCTGACATCGCCACTGTAACCCTCAGATGAATGAAACTCGCCTTCTTCACTTGGCCTCCTCACCCTCCTGCCACGCCACCCTCCAAGCCTGCCCCTTGCTTATAATCTCGTCACCGAGCCAGTCATCCAAACTTGTATCTGGGTGTTAACTGTGACTCATCTCTTTCTCTTCCCAAACAGTCAAGGCTGGCCAATTATTAAATATTCTCCACATGTCTCTCTCCTTCTTCTGACTCTTACCCTGTCTTACCTACATCATTGCTGAAGAACTGCCTCACTCCTGCATCATCTGAGCCCATTCACATCCATCCTTCAGAATATCATCAGGTGATCTTTCTCACCCACAAATCTCCTTGTCACTAAACCTCCATTCAAAATCTTTTTTATTTGCTAGGAGTACAAATACCAAGTACAGATATCAAGTTCTTGGCCTGGCATATAACCAAGGGCCACTGCAGTCAGGCTTCTGGCTCCCTAGCCAGCCTCATTTACATTTTAGATGTTTGTAAGGGCCAGGGGATGTAGCTCAGTGGTGTCACACCTGCCTGGCAAGCACAAGGTCCTGAGTTTGATCCCTGGTACTGGAAAAAAAAAATAGATGTTTGAAGAAAAGTCATATATGGGCTGGGGATTTAGCTCAGTAGTGCCTCGCAAGTGCAAGGTCCAAAAAAACAAAGTCATATATGATTCTCAGACCTGCATATCTGCACATGAGAATTTGATTTATACTTTCTGCGTCTCTTTCCTACTCATTCCAAAATACTACCCTTTATCGAACTAACTCCTATCAGTCCTTTAAGATTTACCCTCACTTTGGCCAGGGATTTAGCTCAATGATTCCTCCGCCTGCACTTGACTCACTTTTACCTACTCTAAGAAGCATCCCTATCCTGACCACCTAAGATTTGGGCCCTAAGTCATATTCAGCATGTATATTGGTGCTGTTCTTTACTGTTCCAGAAATACCCTCTGCAAATATTAATCATCTCAGTTATTATACATTCTGCTTACATATACAATATATCACTCCCACTACACTGTAAGCTCTAAATATATTTTACCCATCATTTTATCTTTGATAGTCAGCTTAGAGCCATAATCAATTTAGAATTAAAGAAATGGCTACAAAGGAAAATTCCATTCGAAATTGTTTCCAGTGTGTCACTATTCAGAAAGATACCATCACCACCTATGTGACTACAGAGTTCACTACTACTACGGATGAATTCAGCAGGTAAATCCCACAGTGCCTTTTATACAATTCCAAGGTTTTTGCTTTTAAGTAAAATCTGACAAGGTGATTTTATTAAGATGGTTGTCTCTCCATTTGGACAAATGTGTACATAAATATAAATTCTAAAAGTTTTAAAGATCTGAAAGTTTTCAAAATAACACAGAATACTGGAAGAAAATATAGGAAAAAAAAATTGGGGGCGGGTACCGGAGCTCAAACTCAAGTCCAGGCCCTTTGCAAGGCAGGCGTGGGAACCTCTGAGCTAAATCCCTGTCCTTGGAAATATTTTTATAACCTCTGATGAAAAAGGTTTTCCTAAGCAAAACATAAAATTCAGAATCCATAAAATACTAACAGATTTGATTATAATTTTTTTTTTAATTTCAGGGCCAGGGATTTAGCTGAGTGGTCCCACGGTCTGCCTAGCAAGCGCAAGGTCCTGACTTCGATCCCCAGTATTAAAAAAAAATTAATTTCATACCATAAAAAATTGTTATATAAACTTCAAGCTCTAAAACAGACTACAGACAGAACATTTATAGGCATATATAGACATCTGTAGACATATATAGAACTTTTCACCCAACAGCAGCAGAATACATATTATTTTCAAGTACACACAGAATATTCTCCAAGACAGATCTCATGTGATGTCATAAAACAAGTCTTAATAAATTTAAGATTGAAATCATACCAAGAATCTTTTCTGGTCCTGGCCCTCTGTGGGCCGCTTCGTGGGTGCCTTGCCCGGGCTGCCCAAGGCAAGTGCTTGGCCAACGACCTCTGAGAGAGGCCTGGGAGCCCGCGGGCAGCGACCCTCTGCGGGGCTCTCCAGAGGGCCCAGGGGGACGGAACTGGCTCGAAGTCCAACCCATGCACAGTGAAGCTAGTTAAGGGTTTAATATGAAGCACAGGAACAGATAGTGCCAACAGCAAGCGGTACTTGGTACACATTTGGTTAGTGCGGCAGCTTTTCCTTCTTCCCTTGCTGCTGAGGTGGCAGAAATTAGTCGAATTCAATATGAAATGGAATACACCGAGGGTATCAGTCCGCGAATGACGGTTCCGGAAAAATTTAAAGTAGCACCACCAAAGCTGACCTGGAGCAAGGATTCCAAGAAGGAGCTCCGAATGCTAGTGTGATAATCAAGTTCCAGAGAGGACTGTTGTAACAGGAAACAACGAAGACATTTCCTTTTCAAGACCAGCAGATCTCGACCTGTTCAATCAACTCCTTTACAGCCTCTGGCACTAAAAACAGCACCTCGTGTACTTCCACGAAGTGAAAGACGACCTGCCACCCCTCAAAATGATAAAATCCGTACAGTTGGCAGGCTAAAAAGAGAGCTCTCTATGAGTGAAAATGCCGTTCGCCAAAATGGACAGCTGGTCCTAAATGAGTCTATGTATGGCACTGCAGACATAGATCCAACAGTTGGAGAGGCAGATGACATGAATGTTGTAAATGCAGCTTCATTAAGACGACAAATAAACTAAATAAACGTCTACAACTTCTAGAAGAGGAAAACAAAGAACGTGCTAAAAGAGAAGGGTCCTGCATTCAATACCTGTTTCATTCTGGCTGCTTAATAGCTGGCTCTGGTTTCGCCACTAGAGGTAACCTCAGAGTTTAAGTATATTGTC